GTGTGTGTGTGTGTGTGTGTGTGTGTACGTAGGCGGAAGCCCAGGCCATCCCTTTTCTTTCGACCCGTGCACGGGACGACGGAACGCGCCGTAAATCACAACTTCGCCGACTCGTTTCGTAGTTTCGCAGATTGCGAATTTACGCGGTTTATAGGCAACTTTCCAGGGAAACGTCGCGGATTTCACCGATTTCGCCAAGCTGCGAGACACTGTCCTCGGTGTCGGGATTTTGTCTGTACTATTCCCGTTGGTAGTTCGAGCTGTTTCGCGAATTACTTCTTTTTTCTTTTTTTCTGGTAACCCCGCTGCGGTCTTTGTTCTTGGATCCATGACTCCTTCTCGACCATCACACGGTTCGCTGTTTTATCATTTCGTTTACATCAGTGATTTTCGAGGCAATTCCTTGACACAGCGGATTTACGAGAATTGAAACATAGAGAATAGTAGAGTAGATTTCCATTAAATCTGTCTCAATGGAGAATCCTATACTTCGAACTTCTAATCTTCACGATTGAACGCGATGGAACGCGAATTCGTCGATTTCTATCGCGTTTCAGAAACAGAGATTGCTAATTTCCTACGTTAATAACGATTTCCATTTTCCCTAAATTCGAAACAAAAATCGTTCGCTAACGGAGAAATACGATCAGCTGGAAATATACAGCTGGGAGAAAGAGGGAGAGAGAGAGAGAGAGAGAGAGAAAAAAAGTGGATGATCGCCGTATGAAAAACTGATAGATTGATCGAACAGTTTCCATATAAAATACTTGTTTCGCAGCTAAATGAAAAACGAACGAGAAAGCATCGTTGATTATCGCCGGGCGTGCAACATTCCGCACCTCTCCCCCGTATATAATCGATACGCAGCGAGAGATATCGATCGCGTTGATAAATCAGTGAGTTTCCAGCCGATTCGCCGCACAGTTTTCCAAATTGCGAATTTACGCCAGTTTATGGATCCGGTCGAGTAGCTGCTTTCGAAAAGAATTACCGCCCGACTGGAATTAAACGCTACCAGTCACTAGATGGTGTTTCGGCATCGAGGTGATTTTTACGAGCTCAACTCGACGCAAATACCCCCATCGTAATATATCGCCATAAATGCCGCGTAAATTGCGTGCCTCGATGAAACATCGAGTTCCCAGAATCGTGGAGCCGTGTAATTGTAAATTCTCGCGGCGCGAGAAGAAAACGATCTAATTAGGAGATCGTTCGTCAAAATGGTTCAAAATTTATCCTGGATAAAATTTACGCCCAGTGTCGAAATTTAGCGTGCCATAGGAACAAATGGAAAAGCGTTACTACCTTGCAATTATTGCAAGTAACACATCGTGATGTTATTATTATCACGGGACAATAACGTTGAAGAAAAAGTGGAAATTAATTGGTCAACCTCTTGAATGTTTAGTCGGTAAATCGGAGTTGAGATGCCTGAAATAATTAGTTTATACCAAATGATACATCAGGAATATGAATACGTTTCAGTGTTAGTTTAATAGATGAATTTTACGTTTTAACTGAGAAACAGAATTGTCATATAAAAATCAAGTTTCCTTTGTAGCATGATGCAATGATGTTATATATAAATTGTATCAACGTGTGATGTAAGGATCTACTGAAAAGTTGAAAAGGAACGTATTTTTCTTACACGATTTTCACTTTTCTCATCAAACTTTTAAACTTCTTTAACGGGAATTCAAAGGGTTAGTAAAATCGCATACCGACTTACCTCTGAAACAACGCGACGATACACCATTCTCTAGCACAATTCCTTTGAAAACATCCATTGGAACACCAACGAGTCACTTTGTCATTCTTCGTCGCACCACACTCGAAGCTTCGATAACAAAACTGACGAAGTTTCGTTAAACCACTCGCTAGTAGTAAGTTAAACAATAATCTTCAGTTAACGGTGGAGATGATTTTAATTCCAGCTCGTCGGTCGAAGGACAAAACAATACATAGACGTTCATCGTGGAGAGATTCATTCCACGATGAAAAAAGTATCGAACCATAAGATCATAAATCAGATGTTCGCACCGAACTATATCATTTCGAACAGATTACGCGTTTCATCGTGGATTCGTTGTTTGCATCGCCGTGTGACGGGGATTAAAGGCGCCTCGTCAAAACGAGTTTCCGCGGGTGCATCGCCGTATTCCGAACGAACGTCAAAAATATGCGGGTCTCATCGATCGGCGTAATTAACTGCACCGCGCGTGAAAGTTAACTTAAATAACGAGCGAGTCCGGGCTTCGGTTTTATTAATCGATCCGCCGCGGTCGAACGAAATCGGCACGGTGTGATTAATTAATCTGCCGGCGGCTGTAAAAGGAACCCGGAGAGAAAAATGACTTGCCGCTCGGCTTTCTAACGAACGTCCGACCGTCGAAAACGATCCCTCGTTAATTTTTCACGCGCCCGGCATAATTCGTTCGCGACGATCTCGTTCAGAAGTTCGAGCGAATGTTTCTTCCGTCGTCTCTTCTTTCGCGTTTCTTCCGTGGAACGTAAGAGTTACTCGAACGAACGTTCAACACCTTCGAGTTCAACGCCTGGTGCAGAGACCTCTTCGAGATCTTTGCGAGGTTTCTTTCCAGTTGCATCGCGATGCTTCGAATTTTTCTCAACAGAATATACGTACATCGAGCAATAATAATTCTAAATAGTTCCGTATGGAATTGTATACAGAATTCTATACAGAAAATTATCAGAATTTAGAATAACATTATATTTTTATAACCTAATAAATGTGACTGTTACATAAACTGCTCCTATGTCACAATTAAATCGATACTGATCGATGCCACTACTTTTAATTTAATAAGGTTTGGTTTCTCCACAGCTTTGCATTACACGGTGCTGTTCTAGAATCAATTAATATTCCCATCGGCCGTGTCCCATCGAGGAAGCTGAGTGGAATTAACGTCGCCCGAAATCCCCCATCGATACAATCTCGACCGCGGCGCAAGAAACGTCATTTGGCTGATTCGTCGAACGCAGCGAGCGCGCGTGCGCGAGATTTAAGGACTTTTCCGGAACGGAAGCGGAACGAGCAAAAAACCGGCGAGGTACAGCGTGCCAGTCGGCGGCTACAAACAGTCGGCTTTTTGCCCCGAGGAGAAGAGACCGGATTGCTGTCTGAGCTAATTCTTATGCGATCATAAATAACGTCGCGCATATATCAAAACTTACAACCGGGCTGCCACCGTTGGTTCCGGCTCTAGGAGTAGCTCGAAATCGTCGCGCCACCACGCTGCTCCAGCTCTCGCGCGTCTTGCAACAATCCCTCTGTCTTATCCCTCTTCCCTCTGTCCCTCTATATCCGTGCCCTCTCCTTACGCTCGTTCCGTCAATCCGTCGTTCTCTTCTTCGTCGTTCCTCCATCCGTCCGCTGGTTTCACCCGTCGAATAGAGTCAGAGCCAAGCAACGCTCTCGCCTCTCGTTCGGTGACAGAAGCCGCCAGAAGCACTTCCACCGGCCAGATTAAAGATACAATCCCGCGATTCTATTAATTAAGAAAGTTAATTACGCCGGGATTCAATTTTCCTAATTGCACATCACCGTCCGGGTGAGCCGCCTCCCCCCCTCCCTCCCTCCCTCCCTCCTCCTCCTCGTCTACAGTCCTACTCCTCGATATCTTCATAGCCGTCCCGACACCGAAGGGCACTCCAACAACCGTTCGTTTCGTCTTCTCCGGAGAAGTTTTCGCCCTCCAAAGTCTCTGCCGAGTCTTTCGCGGTTCTGCTCATTTATCCATTTCGCCGTCCCATTTCCTTTTCGTCCGTTTCGTCCCATTCCATTCACGACCTCTTCCCATCGTTCTCGGCTCGTTCGCCGAACTATCCGGCAGTCGGTGCTTGTTTCCACGAAAAGATT